TAATAAACTAATCTAAGTCTATTAGCTGCAACCAACCAAGCACATGACACATGTTCCATACTGACAGAAGATGGCACAAAACATGTTTTTAAAACGTTAGCTTTTAGCACTTATTTCTTAAATCCCTCTTCACAGACAGAGTTACATCTCTTTCAGTTTTTAAGAGCAGAGCTCAATGGTGTAAATTAGCCTTTATATGTATAGCGTTTCATGTCCCCTATAAAGGTGTGGATGACTGGGCTGTTTATCTAATGGGGAGGAAAATCCATAGACTTCTGTTAAGCAAGTAACTCTCATCGATTGCCTTTACTGTACGTTTACTGTATGACCAACTGAGCTTATATGTCACCAAAAAGAGGTTCTCTTTAAACCAGGAAAAACAGTGCTTATTATCTATATCTTTTCTATGCCTCTAAGCTGTAAACAAAGTCTATCCATTATTTAAATATTAGTTTTGATGTTTTTTGTTTGTTTTTCTTAAACGCTGCAAAACAATAATAGTGAAATTCGCTACTTCCAGTCTCGTTTTGTTTTGACAATCTTGTTGGGCTTAATGTGCTGCCATGCTGGTGCCACACTCACAGACCTCGAGCTGAATAACTGAGGCCTACGCTGAACTCTGTATACTCATCTGGGCTACATCTCAGTCAAATGAAGCCCAGTTACAATGCTTTCACTTAGAACAAGACAAAGTCTGCAGCAGCAATACTACACGTACTACACAAACAGATTAGCAGCTATCACTGAGCACACTCAAGCAAAAACAAAGCAGTCAATTGCTCCATGCATGATAAGAAAAATCTAATGATTTAACACAATAAAGGAGTTTTTTTTTCCCCTAAAAATACCTGCAAAAGCTTACAAAGATATTATTTTAGGATTTGGAGAAAAGTAATCTGACAAATACACCTTGGTAAGCAAAAGATCTCAGGCTACAAGAAAAAAACGGCTTAATTCTTAAAGCCTATGCATAATAAGCTGTTGAGTCACCGCAGCTGCTTTGCATTTTCTTGCATTTTGTGTCTGAACACAGTCAACTGGAAAACTTTAACTTGTTAACTTGGGATCTATGGAAATATCCATTGCCTCTCCTGCATGTAAAACAGATTTACACTCAAGGAGCAAAGCCCAATCCAGCCCTCTTATCACAGACTTCTGTTTACATATCAAAGACAGAACTCTTAAGGCACAATTTAGATGACTGTTTAAACACCATTTGTCAGTTACCATTGCAATAAAAGGTCAAATTTCAAAGTGCTCAAATAGAATTTATGAGCAGCCTATTGTAATCCTAATATTTAAGGTAATCAGTAAATGATCAGCAACATCAGCTTAGCCTTAAGGTTTATTCACCGTAAGAATATCCATTTGAAAATAAATAACTATCAAACAAGCTGCCTTCAGTTTTTTACTAGGGGTGTTAACAACATCCAAACAAATTAAACACGATATAAATGCAGCATCATATCACAGCTCCCCGTGTGAAACTGTGAATGCCTGGAAATGCGTGAAACTTTGGTGAAAATTGGAATAATCACAGACAATTCTGGGAACAAGTTTAGTGGAAATACATCACAATAATTAACTGTTTGTATTTTGATCATAATTAAATTTCAAGCAAGTGCGAAGCTGTGCCCATGAAGACAAACCTGCAGCATCCCAAGGATCAGTTTGAATTAGAGTTCAACGTACAGCTGACCCCTCGTAGAATATATCAACTTGGCAGTATTTCCCCCCATTAAGCATATTATGTTTGAAGCTACTTAAAATCTATATTTTTAGCTGAAATGTTTTTGCTTTGTAGTCAAGTGTATGGAAGTCAAAGACTGCCAATTCAGTTTCCAAATGCGCACCTCTGTTCACAATGGCACTAAAGGCACAACCATTCAACAAAACCCCCCAAAAAATAACAGAAAAAAGGACAAATATGGTGAATTTAGTCTATTCTGTTAAACTGAAGCCTAATACGTGCTTTGTCTGTATGAGCAGCATGCAAAATTACCATCCACTATCCCTAAGTATTTTCCAATGTTTCAAACAGCCTTATGGAGAGGATAAGCGAGAAGTGCCATTCCCATTATCATTCCAATCCCATTAATTAATAAGTACAGAAACTGGCTTCAGCTCAGCTGGAGGCACAGCAGGGATCATCTTGCAAGGAGTATAAGGAGCTAAATAGGTAAACTAATCATTTACACGTGCTTCTAGAAAAAAAACCCCACAGAGTATTGATAATGTGTCCAAACCAAAATAAAACAACACTTATGACCTTTGTTTTTCCCCGAAAAACACTAGAATTGATTATATGCATGATGACTGGTCAGTTAAGGATTTACGACAGGACACACTCCTTCAATGGCACCACTTTCCAAACAATAACTAAAAGCCAGAATTAGTTAAAGGCAGTTAAACTACAACAGACCATGTGCATATAGAAAGCAGCTGGTTGAAGGGGAAATTCTCTGCTTCTCACTTCATGTGTGAAACCAAAATACTGGATGCCGTAAAGCAGCTCATGGTGTTGTGACATCCCTAGTATTTAAGAAAAGTATTTCACAAAAAATGTTTGCTTCATTAAATTTACATTTTTTGGGCTACAGCTCCATAGGACCCTATTCATCCTCATGATCTCACAAGAGCTCCACATGAAACCGAACTCCAAAGAGTTTAAGTTCTCAGCCTTGTGCCACATAATATTGGGTTAAGCTGTACTCTGAAGTGGAATTATAGTGCATGTCTATTTGCATGTTGTAACAATAAGCACAGGTAAGACACTGACTGGCGAAAAAGTTGACGGAGTTTACAATGAAGGGGAAGAACAACATCAATGATTTAAAACTACATATGAAAAGCACATCAAACAGCTGAAGAAAACAGTTTTCACTTCTAGTCTTTTGACTTAAACACTTGGTTTAACACAAATACATGCAAGAGTAACCTAAATTATTGGCTGTTACACACATTTTTGAAACTGCACCTGATGACACCACACAGCTATAACCGACATTATAGACACTTTGAGGTTCTGCACAAGATTCAAGGCACAAGTTACAGGTAAACAAAGGAGAACCACTCAGGCTTCAGTGCACATTTAGTTAAACTTTTCAAGTACTGGCACATGTTTCAGGCAATCAAAATGAATGAGAAGTCGATCAAGCATAGAAATAAGCATAACAAGCATTGAAAGTATAAATATGGGACCATCCACAGGTTAGTGAAATCCTATGATGAATGGCATGTCGACACGTTGATGTTTTGAAACCTGACATGAACAGCAAGGGGCGGATATGACTGTCATGCACTCACCACTGAGAATACAATCCTATTTTCTGACTCTTTATTTGACTATAAAGTATAAAATTAACTTATTTCAGTCAATATGAAACAAGCAACTGAACCAAGGAAGTTTACCAGTAAAGTGCTTACTGAGGTCACAGAGCAAGGGAACTCAAGGCATTTAAACTTCTATATAAACATTAACATTTATAAGTAATTTGGAAACCAGTCACTCCCCTGTTGAAACCTTGAAACCTGACACTGGCACAAGCCAGTGTACTCCTACTGCTGGTCCCAAGGCCAGATTAATGAGGAGGAATATATCAGGAAAAGCCTCTGGTGTAAAATTATTTCTCAATTAAACACATGGACCATCAAGAATAAGATTGTCATGACGGATCGGTTGGGTCCCAGGGTTAACAACAACCACCTCCGGTGCTGTTGGCCAACACAGTGCCAGTGAAAACTGTGCTGCTGTTGGCTAAAAACAAAGGGAGAATAGAGGGGGAAGGCATGTTAGGAGGCAGCGAGAGAGAAGGAAAAGCAGGAGTGTGGAAGTAAGAGTAGGGACTGTATCAGTCACAGTCCTTACACTGTCTGATATGATGGATAGCAGGAAAGTAGGAATATTGTGCATGTAGTAGACCAGGTCAATCGGAAGCAAACTGTTCTACCACAGTGTAGACAGAGTTTTGGACAAGTGCAAAGAGAAGATTCATAGATGTACAGAAGGAGGACATGCAGATATATGGCAGACAAGAAAAGAAGTCATCCCCTGTAGGTCATCGGAAAGAACGCAAGCTAAATAATGAGAAAAAGTTTCCTCATGTTCAGTCACACAAATTTGCACATTTGCTCATGTCTGCAGCACGTATACCTTCCACAGTCACCCCTGAAAACAGAGCAATAGCTGCGTTATAATTGAAAATTATTATAGTTTACCTAACAGGGTAGTTCACAGTACCACATTTCATTTGGCACAACTTTAAACAGGCTGCTTTTCCTGACACAATCCATTTGTGTCCACAGCTGGAATTCAACCACCAACCTCTGTTTGCAAAGCAAATGTGTAAACAGAGATCAAGTATAAGGCAAAAATGATCGACTCCACCACCAACCCTCTTCCTACAGCCTTCATATTGGACTTATTCCCTCTAGAAAACGTGGATTTCGTGTGAACTGACTTGACACGAGTCCAAGGAAAGTTCATAGCCAAAAACAAAAATCAGTAGATTAAAGGGCTGTAACTATTTCACGACCTGCCGTGACAAGCAGACATGTTTATATTGTCCATGCTAACACGCAGCTAGCCTGGCTAAGTGCTGCTGCTATGACAATGGTTACCGCCAAATGTCGGACACGCCCACCACCAAAGCCTGTAAGCCACGCTGATTTGTGAATCCGGTCCGAATGAACCATAGCGACACCTTGAGGCCGGCTCTACCATATTACATAAGACCTGCCTGATCTCGTTTCTTTGCAGGTGGCGGGGGAGTGAAGAAGGAGGAGGAGGGGAAAAGGAGTGAAAGAAAAAGCTCCGCGGAGCCTTGCACGTTATAAATCCCGCTGGAGAAGATGGTGTCTGTGAAATTTAGTAACGTTATGTGGAAAAACCAAAAATGAGTCAGGCAAGTTTGGAGGCCCTGAGCGCACCCTGCGCTGCTGCAGCCACTTGAGTCAGGGTTTGTAGGGATGACATGTCATGCATTCACGGCGATGCTTACCTGTTCAGCCGTCCGTTCAGCTTGCAAACACTGAGACCTTGCTTCACGCTGGCTGATTAATTCCCAGGCAAACAAAAGAGTCAGTTTAGACTGTGTGCAAAGCAAGCCAGTTAGCTAACTTGGCTGACCAGCTTAACTTGCAGCTTGCTGGCGACCAGGATGGTCAGATGTCTGACTTTTTTATCCACTCTCACTTTGCACAGATAAATCTGCGCTCAACTGTGGCCACCATGTTATAAACACACTCAGGTTAAGATGGGTGACCGGGGGAGTTGTATGTTAGCTGGCTCGCTATCAATTTAACGTCAGCTTATGTTGACAAACAAGCCTGCGTGCTTAAAATCACACACACACCACTCGGAGCCAGCTAACGCCAGGTTGCTAGCACGGTTAGCTTAGCCAGCTAAGTAGCTCCGCTAAATCCAAACCTCGCTCCGAAAATCCGCTCACCTCGCGTGCGACTTGTGTCCCGTCGGCAGCAGCAAACCGTAAGTAACTCCGAGAACCACTTGCGAAAGGTTTCTGCGTTTCAATGACGGCGCACTTGCTTTTGCCAGCCCGAGTTATCGCTTTGGTCTCTGCTCTCCGCCATTTCCAATCGCTCAACACAAACAAACAGGGCTGCTCGTGCGCGCGGAGCGTCGAGGCGCGCTCACGCCGAGGGCAGCAGGCAGAAGCTTCCACAGTGCTGACAGAGGGGAGACCCGACTGTTGATTACATGTGATTAATGTGTCGCATGTGTCAGGGTGAATGTGCAGACATACAGCGTGTATTTAGCCACACCGCACAGAGTGACTGGAGGAGGGTGAGCACTGATGCTTTCTGGAAACTATTAGCCCTCCTAAATCCAGATGCCGTACACGCACTGTGCAAAATCCCTGATGTGTCATATATCTCGCCGGGGCGTTTTCAAGAAAACATGGTTTGGGAAGGGCAGGTAGAAAACATTGGGTCTCCTACAGAAAGCTGCACCAAGGCGAGAGAGTTCAAGCGTCATGGGATCTGGGAGTCACAAGTGATGGAAAGCTGGAGTGTGAGATAGATCTGCAGACTGGTACATGTCAGGATTCTCAAGCAGTCATCATGGCAAAGAGATGAGTCGGATCTGAAGTTGGCCTTTGCTTCAGCTGTCACCTTTGGTCACACCTTTGGTCCAGCTCTGGCTCGATGGACTGACTGATGGATATCATTGATTTTCAGGTTCATGTGCAGCTCTGTGCTGTGTTTACAGAAAGTATTACATTAAATACTTTGTACTTACACCAGTATAACTCTCCAGGTTAAGGAGGTGACCACTATGCTGCAAGCTGGGAATTTTGCCCTTCCTCCGCTCTCTTCCACCTTTCCTGATAACTTCCTGATAACTCTCAAAGGTGAAAAAGAAATTGGTGAAACTCATCAAAATGTACTTAAAGTTTAACAGTCTTTATTCAAATTCATACATGCAATTTTAGTGAATCCTATATTTTGATTTATCAGTATGTACGTCACTTTAATTGTTTTGAAATTAATTATGAATTTCTTATATACCAATATATGGTTTTATTTTAATAATATAACTTCACCAATTCAGTGTATTAGTGGAGTTATACAATTTGAAAAATAATAGGTAACTAAAGTTGGTATGCACGGTATACAGTACCAAGAACCATATCTGCATCCAAAATTGGGTGTAGTTGAAGTACAAAGGTGTCGAATTACTTAAAATACAGGTACATTAAAACTGTACTCAACAGTTTTACTCATAAAGCACCGTTTCACCAAAAGAGAAAGTAATCTGAAGGTGTTTTATACTGTACAGAGAAAGACCCAATGAACAGACAGTCCCCTGAGCAAGCATTTGGCGATGATGGGAGGAAGAAAAAAAAATCTGCAAACAGATTTACTATAAAAAAATATCAGATTTAGAAAAGAATAAATAAATAAATAAATTAGGCAGTTAAATTTATCAGAAGAAAAAATTGACAGTATTTTTCACACATTTACAGGGAAAAAACAGGTAAATTTATGAAAAAATGGCAAATTTAAGAGAAAAATCAGGTCAATTTCTTAAAAAAAATTACCAAAAGAAATACTGAGATAAAAGCTGACAGTCAAGAAGAAATAAACACTATGTGACAAAAACCTCTCAAATATATAAAGGAAAAGTTAGAAAACAGCATTTTAGTGAAGGAGCCATACAAAGTTAATCACTTATTTGAGCTCCACTAATCAATAACTGATCGTAAATGCTGCTAGAAAACAGCAACACGTTTTCTTTGTTATCATTGAGCTTATCAGCAAACTGCATTTCCAATCTGGACTCCACTGGTCACTAAAAGTGCAACAGGAACACAACACACTGCTTACACATTCAGTAATATGTATGGGTCGATGCCACCCCAGACCCCCCTTCAGCACCGCTTCTGTTTCTGGTTCATTTGAATTCATTTGAACACAGTTGCCCAACAAGTGAAAAATCACTGTAAGCATCTGCAGAAGCAGATCTGATTTGTCTTTTTGATTCTTTACAGCATCTTTAACTTAATTTTATATAAAGGCTGATCATTATTTTGCTTTCGTTTCCCCTCACATGAAAACACTGTCACAGAGACATGAACGGACTTTGCTCTGTCAGAGTTCGCAGTTCATCTTCTGCTGTTTTCTGGCAAGTTTTGGAAACCACTGAGGCCAAATTTATAAATATAGCATATCTCCTCATCTCTATAAACTAACGCAGCAGCACAACACTCATCTGTTAAGTGTGCCTGTCAGCCTGCCGCTCCTTTGAACTCTGGATGTTATGATAAAATTACAGTAGCGTGTTTAAGGCAGCATATTCTGGGAAATACACTGAAGTAATTACATTGTGTGTAATATGTTGATTGGTCACTCGCATTCTTCAGAGCGCTTTTACTTCAGAGTTCAAGGTTATGAGTCATGAAAGCAGGCGTTTGGACATGTGGAGTTCTAAACGTGGGATTTATTGTTGTTTATCTGTCTTTTATTGCCTTTTTCAAATTTAATAATGCCTGTTAAATGCCTCTTTACAGCGTGCCTGAAAGTAGTGGTGAAATCTGAAGATGAGTCATGCCTGGATTAAAACCATTTTTGTTGTGCATTTACAGCCCAAGTTTACAATGTAAATGATCTACAGTTAATTTACTACTGCTGTGCTCGCAGTCGGCTCAATTCCAAGTTATTCTTCCTTTTTTTTAACGTCACGGCTGAGATCCCTGTTAGTAAAGAAAACAGGTTCCTAAAATATCCAGTGTCAAGCTTGACAGCCTCTCAGTGAAGCGTAAATAAAAACAACTGACAGTGCGGCGCTAGCATGAATTATTTCTGAGTCTTTTTGGATAAAACTGCACGCAGAGAGAAAGCGTATGTTTATGAACATCACAAACATCTGAAGTTTGTGTTAACACAACAGCAAAATGAGCAGCTGAGACGCTCTACAGCCAACTTTTGGTTTCTCTCAGACCTCTAGTTTATTGTCAGAGTGACTCAGTTAAGAGATATTGTGATCTTCTGACCATTTCTACGTGTACTTTATGAGTGAAAACGCTACGTTTGAACTGTACATTGTGTAGAGTATAGGGTCAGAGGAGGACGGTTAGCTGTAGCTATTAACTGTCCTGCAGCTGATCAGTTTCTGCATTGCCTGTATCAGATAAAAATATTTTAATTACTTTTTTAAAATGTTCATTTTCTAATGATGTTCTATTGATGTTATTACGGGGATGTTATTAGGTCCATCGTCTACTTCTGCAGGTTGGAAAAACAGTAAACAGACGTGGGATAAGAAACAGGAGCGTATTCAAAATGAGAAATTACTTGATGTAAATATAATTTTTATTACATTTTAATTTCTGCAGTTTTCAGGTGAGGAGTCTACAGTGTCCAAGGCTCAAGTGTGTTCTTTGTCTCTTTTGTCATTCATGAGGTTTTGCTCTTATTCGTCACCAGAGATGGGCATTAACACGTAATCTGATTACTTTTTTTGAAGTAACGAGTAAAGTAATTGGATTACTGTTACTTTCCTGTAAGCACGCTGTGTTACTGCGTTACTAAACCGTGATTTTGTTTGCGAGAGTGTCTCAAATGATGTATGAGTGTGCGACGTCCGTGGCAGCAACAGACACCTGTGCAGATCAACGATGCATAATATGGAGTGCAGGAGAGAGTACGACCGCGCAGCGTTTAACGTGTGTACTGACATTAGTTTGATTCACTAAACAGTTACAAAGACATTAGCATCCACTGTACACTCTAAGTAATAAAGTAATTAATTACTTTTGAAAATAGGTCATCAGTAAAGTAACTGGATTACTTTCTTGGAGAAGTAATCGGTAATTAGTAACTAATTACTATTTTTAAGTAACTTGACCAACACTGTTCGTTACACTGGGCGAGACGGTCAGCATGGAGTTCACTGTCAGCGTTTGGCAGCACACTGGCTGATCAAACTTTACAGACAGCTTTGAAGTAACGTATAAATCTAAAGGCAGCGGACATTTACTTAATTTCTTACTTAGTACATTAACTGAAGAACATAAAAACAACTAAAACAAACAAGAAAAATATAGTTGATTTTTTCAAATTTATAACAAAAATTTCAGAAAAAATCTAAATGTATAGAAAAAAATCTACAATCAAAAGATTCACATTTCTGAGAATATAATCTCAAATTCCGTGGTAAAATATTAAAAATTTACAAGAAAAAAGGGCAAATTTCTGAGAGTCCTTTTTAAGGCTTCAGCTTTGTGTGTCAAGATTTGCTGGATCTCATTTGTGATTTCCAGTAATAATAATAATCATTTTAAAAGAAGCCAGGCTTTGTGGGACAATTTTATAGGGAAAAATTTATATTAATTTCTTTTTTTAAAAAAAACTTTATGCTTGCATTTATTTCTGTGTGAGGTTCTAAGTTATTCAATGTGTTTATTATAAAATGCAAGCATGATGCCTGCACGTTCAGCAATTTGTCTGCAAGTGACTGATTATGGGAAAAAATCCAAATCAAAAAAATCTAATTCACATTAAAACAACTTACCTGAAATGGTCATTTTTATTTAGTTTCTTACGTTTTTGTTTCTGGTATCCATTAGACTGAAATAAACAGATTAGAACTCGGGTCAGAAAGAAACAGGCTTTCAGATCGTTTTTAAATGATTAAAGGAAATTCTATGATATTATGAGACGGCTCCAGGAAATTATGAAGGCACTTGTTGCTACTTTCTCATATTTAATCAATCAAATAACTGCAAGAGAAATAAACTGACCTGCAGCGTGTACAGAGAGGTTGATTCAGAGTTGCTTAATCTTCCTAAAATGACTCATTAACAATGGACAGGTAGTGCAGGGCCTGTGATTGGACACACACTCTGAACCTTATCGGCTCATTGAACGTGAGCTGATAACTTGGCCATCTGTTAGTCAGTTTATAGATTAAGCAGATGAGATAACTTTAAATTCTTGGATTCCTTCTTCTTCTGTTTCTTTTTTAAATTCCAGGAAAAAGCCTGGATACCTTTAGAGCTTTGGGGCACTAGCAGAAAATAAATAAATAAAGATTTTCAATTTTTTAGCGTTAACTTAACACCGAGACATGCATTTCAGGTTAACTGGTGTTTTTAAATTGGCTATAGATGTCTCTGTCTCTTTGGATTGGCTCTTTGATGACTCGAGGACTCTGACTTTTACCCGGTAACATCTGGGATGGACTCCAGTTGTGACATGAATTTAGATAAAAGAGTGTAAAACAGATAAATATTGTTCAAATCTTCCGGTGAAACATCAGCTGGCAAGAGCTCCAGTTATAAAACAGTGCAGAGGTGTAAATCCACACTCATCAGTATAGCGGCATAAATTTAATCTTCAAACAGAGGATTCACAATATGATAACATACACTGCATTAAACAGGAATGGTTTATTTAGATGAGCAATGAGAACCAGCTGGGGGTGAGATAAGGGATTTTTGTTGGCGTCTCATTTTGCTTTTACATCACAAACGAATGAACACAGCTTTTGTATTTTGTAAAACATCAGAACAAATAAACCCAGATTAGCAGACATAATTTCAGATTTTAATTCTGGACAGAAAGGGTGCAGTGCCCACTGTCCATTTTGCAGACTGCAATTTAAAATAAAAACGAGTGTCCGGATGGAGAGTGTCTCAGCGAGGCGGCGGTGTTTGGAGCGGAAGTCATTTGAAGAGTTTGAACTTGCGCATCAGTGGCTGGACAGTCTCTTTTGGATACGGCTTCAGGGCTAAACACGTGGGGATGTTCTCAGGCTGTTCGATCCAAAGCTTGTGGGAGACACCAGCCTGCGTCAGAGACTCAGACAGACCAGAGAGGGCAGCCTCGTCTGGAGCCTGGAGACAAAAAAAAGTATACTCTCACGTGGAGATCAGATTCCTGCAATGAAGGCAAGTTCTGGGAAGAAAACACTGCAAGTCTGTCCAAACAAGAGGCTGAGACAGTACAGCTATTTCTATATGCACCACTTTGTTTGTCCTAACAGGCTGTGGCCCAAGCAGCCCAGTAAAAACAATAGACAACAGCTGTTAAGAGTAATATTAATACACCAGCACAATGCTTTCCTTTTAAATGTAAAGGGGAACATCTTGAAAGCTGAAAACAGGCAAAATGAAAGACACCCCTTTCCACTCTCTTAAAAATGTAATATCATAAGGTATCAGTCCTTATCTGTTTATGTTTATAGAGAATACATCAGCACTCTGACAAGTCTTTTAAAAGTGAAGTGCAATTTAAAAAAATATATATTTTAATTGAAAAACTGGGAGAAGTTAATAATAACACAACACACTGTAAAGCCTCCTATTGGGCCGAAGTGGACCTTTCGCTGGCTTTGGCCTCTATGTTTGACAGCTCTGCTTCTGAGGAGAAAAATCTCTTATTGCGAACTTCTACTTGAAATTATAGACTTTAAAAGTCTAATGAATTACAGGGAAAATGTATCTGCTAGCGCATAATTTATCACCTCATCGTAATGCGTAGGACTGGTCTTTTAATTCGGCGCTCAGCTTGATCACTCTGATATTATTATTTGTTAAAATGAAGGGTTTTAAATGCAGCTAGAGAAGCAATGACTGTGAATAATAGCTATAAATCGATATTATATAGAAATCTACTGCTGCTGCTGATTTAAAATCAGAATGTTGACTTGTAACATCTCCGTATTTAATCTGTATCGGGCGATGAACCCGCAATATGCTCCAAGAAGCTAAAGTAGCGAATTTCTGAACAGAGTTTGGCACGGTTGTCTTACCCCCAGCACCACCTTGTGCATGGAGTCCAGCTCGGACAGGTAGCGCTGCGTGTCCGGATCTCCGTAGTGCAGGTGGATGGCGGCGGTAGCGGCGTGGCAGGCCTGAGTTATCACGGCCCCCAGGGGCCAGGACAGTTTATGAACTAGATCCGAGCGGACCACTACGTACTGGACCAGCCGGCCGGGAGACCCGGCTCCTGACGCCGCCATCTTTAGCCCGGACAGAAACTCAGGCTCTGTTTATTTTCCGGGTCAAACTGTTAATAGCGTGTTATGAGCAGCACTACCGCCCTCTAGCGGTCACTGTTAAGACTCCATAGTGTAGCAGCCTGTTCGTTTGGTATATGTAAGATTTTATGGTATTTATGATTGTGTTAACAAAGAAACAGCTGGGTAAACACCACAGATTTTTCCCCTTTTCTACCACACCTTATATTTCTTATTTTTCACCTTATTTTCATCTTCTTTCTTCTATCTAAACATAAATCATAATCCTACTCATCATAAATCTATATTTATAAAAACACTATAAACCATTTTATCTGTATACATATAAGAATGTGTTCTTCCTTCACCTTATCCCATTTAGTTGTCCATCAAATTTCAACTGTCTGCAGATAAGCTCACCTAAATTGTGTCAATTACTTCTGTAAATATTAAAGCCTCCTGTGATTTGATCAATTTAGCAGAAATTCAAGCTGCCAAAAACAAAATTCATAGAAACATGTTTAAGTAATAAATGATTTTAAATAACTAAGTAGATTTGAGAGCACAGGAGGACAGTAGCTACTTCTACTGCCTGTTGGGATGTTTTTCATGAACAGCCTCATTTTAAAGCGATGTTTGGCACAGCTGCATCATAAAGCCCATAAAGCTGCTCTGTTGATGATGTGATCTCATATCTCCAGTGAGCACAACAGTGTTCAAGACAACCTTTACGTCTACTTTTAATTTCTACTGAAAAGTATTTGTCTGTAGAGTCCTGCTCCCAGCATAAGGGAGTGTGTTGTGTTGTTAGACCAAACAACACAATGCATACATGTTAGGATAAATCTGTGTCTAGGCTTTGGAGGACAGTGTAAGGGTGTGACGGTGGGCTCCAGGAGGAGCAGGATGAACACTCGCGGGTGTGTTGTTGACAGCTGTGTTGTTCATAGTGAGTTATTTAAGATGCGCAAACCTTCTGCCCCAGTGCAGCACAAACTCTTAATGAAGCAGTCGTTCCACACGTCACATTGAACTGACATGTCGTTAAAATGAAGCTCTGAACTGAGGATGTCTCATTCGCTTTATAACTCGCTGCCTCGACTCCTCGCGTCTCTTCCTTTCACCCCAATCAGCCCTGTGTATTTAGAGTACCGTCTCTTCCTCTGCTTTTCCATCCGTTTCCCCTCACTCCTGTATTAATTCAACAAAAACTAAAAGCTTTTTTTTTTTTTATACCTCATAACAAAATAAGTTCACTTCAATAATGGAAAAAAGAAAACACAAATCACCAGTTCATTAAAAAAAGACAAGCAAACGCCAGTAAATGTCACAATAATAATTTATTAAGCATACACATTATAATATAAATATAAAATATGCTATTTTTGATTTTAAAATTGGTGAGACATCATTATATCTGTGTTGAGACAGACGACCATACAAACAGGTTTTAATATTCTACCAAAATCGGCTGAAACTTCTATGCAGCTGTAACAAACTCGCCATGATGGTGCCGTCCTAAAATAAGAGCCTGTATTCACAGAGCACGCCAGAGAAGTGTAACTGATCTAGGATCAGGTCCGAAGTTAATGTCACCATAAATGAGGAGGCGAACTGGTCTTAGATCAGCCCTCCTAGTCTAAGATGCTGTATGCAGTGGGGCCCACGTACAAAGAGAGCACAATTACCTACCGTATAATTCTTTATATATAGTTCTTACTGTAGTCCAACAATGGCAATTAGCAGCATGAAAATGCACCACTCATATTTTATTCTAGTTCCAAGAAACTGCAAAATAAGTCGAAGAGTAAAGGAATGAAATAAACATCAAACATACGGATGATCATTGTCACTGTACTACGAGAGAAACTCCTCCACAGTGAAACAATCAGAGAGAATCAAACAATCAAATCAGATCGGAGCGATGACATTTGATGTCGCGGTCGGGTTCAATTCACTTTGGTCTCGGTCACGGCAGGAAGTGTAAAATCGTGGCGTTTCTCCCAGAAGTGGAAATCAGCGACATCAGGTTGTGTGCGTTTAATCGACACGTCGAGGAGAAGCGATTCTCAAACCAGGATTTACAGTTTCGGTCGACTGATTCCAAAGTGGATTGATCCCCGAACCGATCAATGACGATAAATAACAAATAGTTTGAAGATTTTTTCCAGTTTTTTGTTTGTTTTTTTTTCATCAGTTTTTTCTTTTTCTTTTTTTTTTTTAAAGTTCGGTTGACATGCTGAATCGTTGTGTTTGCAGGTCTGTGGTCGATCAAAAGGAAAAGTATTGGGCGAACCACTCCTGGCGCTGAGCGTCCGGGGAGTCGATGGCAGAGTCCTTTGTTTCAGGAGGGCTTCAGGACGGACACACACAAACAGAAAGTTAAGGAAAGAGAAGTGAGAGGCTGATCGCTCACCTCGTTTAGTCTTAAACATAAAGGGGTGAAAAACACAAGCTTCACTTTAATGCTCTCAGATTTTTTCACACCGAAGAATCTTAAAAGTCGATGTGTTTTTATAATAATCCAACTTTAGCCTCAAATGATGACTTTCTGATTGAAAAGAAAATGATGCTCTAATGCTTTCATCTCTCAGGAAAATATAGGTTCAGCTGAGCGGCCTTACTCCAGTGAAGCTCCACAATCTGATCCAAACCTTTTTCCTTTTTTGCCTCCAAAATCAAAAACAAACATTCACACTCTGTTGATATTAACATGCAGAAAGAGCGGGGGACACACATTAACAACTGTGTGGAAGATGTTTGTTTTAGTACTTCGTCCGGTCTAAATACTGAAATAAATCAAACTGAGCTCCGCATCTAAAACATCAGTGACTGTGTGGTTTTGTGGAGGTTCATGCGAGACACGGTGTAGATGTTAATTTTGGACGTATTTTCCTAACTATTAAAATAAATAGCCCAAAGCAGCCTCTGTGTTAGTTTGTGAACATGAGCTAGTGACGGAGCATTACCAAAGCCGATCTAACCCCACATGTAACAGGATGCCCACCTCTGCACAATTGTAACCAGTGATGTAACAGATGAGTTCAGTCAGTTCTTTAGTTACCACATTCCCTCCTTCCTATTGGTTGTTGTGTCGCCTGATCCTGATTTCTCCTGCTGTGTCCAATACTACGTGTGTTTTTACGTGTGTTATTTTCACTGCAGTGGCAGATTGTCTTTTACATGTTTGTTTTTAGAAAATAAAATTATTTAGACAGGAAGATAAGGGCAAATTCTGTTTCTCCTCAGACAGAAAATTTAACTGGGGTTTTGACCTATTTCCACACTCCACTGGTGTTTTTGTGTGATTTAAGTTTGAAATCTGAGCGTTTGAATGTGTAATTTTCTTTTCTGTCCACAGGGGGCAGCATAACCACAAGATTCAAGATGAGCCACGCCAGTGTTTGTCCTTCTCCACTCTCCATTACAGCTGATTGAATGACTACTCTCCTGTGCAGCCTTTGGAAAGTAACCACGAGCAATGTTTTATCTCTAAGTAAAGGTTTAGTGAAGTTCACACAGTCCTTTGAAGTGAATCGATCTTTTAAAGAGTATTCCCCGTTTAGCAAAACTGTTAAAAACACATGGCTGTAACAGCGCCGTCCCTCATCACCATGAGAACGGTTTAATTTGACTCCTCAAATCATCAAATCACGATGCTGCTGCAGTAAATCATCACTAGAGCCTCAAAACAGCTGAAAATAGTTACAAAAATGGAAGAATTTCATCCTGTCTGAATAAGACTTTCTGATAGAGATGTGTCCAGATGTTTTTCAAGAAAATGTTTTGTGAGGATTTTCAGGTTTTTTTTGTCTGTCCTTTTTAAGTTTGCCAAAACAAATTTCAAAATTAAAGACGGGTTATTAAACCTTTGATCGGATTTATTCATGAGGCTTTTCTTTTGACAGGACTACTTTTTATGTTTTGGAGCCATTAATACAGTACTGTGGAAAACTCTTGATTTTTTTTTGAAGGACATTAAAAGCTATTTTGTGGATGTTATTTGCCTTTAGATGATCCCACACTGCTTCAATAATGTTGAGATCTGGGCTCCGGGGAGGCCAGTCCATGACCGATAGAGTCATGGACTGGCCTCCCCTGTTGTTCTATCCAGGATTGCTTTGACTGCAGTGGGATCGCTGTCATGCTTAAAACTGAAGCTGTTGCCAATCAGAAGCTTAGTAGCAGGACCAGATGGTACTGAATGGTGGATAAAAATCTGATGGTACATTTCTGTGTTATAATTCTATCACTTTTGAAAAGATCTCCAAACCACGACGGAGCTTCCATGTTTTACGAATGGCTGTAGACACTCACTGTTCTACCTCTGACTCGTTACCTCTGATCAGTCCAGCTCCGTGTAATTTGGCATACCCCAGGCTTTTTTCTCAGCTTCCCTTCCTCAGGAATAGCTTCATCTCAGCCAAACTTCCACTGCTTTGAAAAGCAGTAGATGGATAAATGCAGAGCCAGGTTCATCTGTTAGATCCTGTGTCAGGTCTCTGTTGTATTTTTCCCCCCTATTTTTAAGAAGATGATATTTAGATCCCGTGCATCTGCAGTAAACAAATGTTAAGGCTCACCACGTCTACTATTTGAACTTTTCTAAGGTCATACTACACATTATGCTGAAAAATGCCAAGTTTTTAGCTCACAACTTTTCGAGAATCACCTTGTTGGTGCAAAACAAAATTTTTTAATGTTTGGCAAACTGTTATTTTTTGGGCATTTTATAGATTCATTAAAAGAAATGGAAAGAAAGGGAACAATTATGTATTTTAGTGACAGGCTACCAGTAACAAAGTGTCTAAAGACACAAATTAAAATGGGTTCTTTGCTTGTCATGTGCACACACTGGTTTATCTCTTGAGTTGATGTTTTTTATGCTTGAATGATTCATAGGTCAGTAACAAACAAAAAACATTTGTTTGAAAATATTTAAAGAAAACTTTGAAAAACCTTCAGAAAATCTGGAGAAGGAGTCAGAAGTCACTGGAAGCAAATAACGAGAAATGAAAATGGCTTTTGCATCTTTTTTTTAAACCTATTCATGCTTGTCTGGATGAAACAAACCCATAGAACTGTCATGGTGCTGGGTCGTTGACCCAGCGTTTTGTGTTTATGATTATTTTCCTCTGTTCTAGTTATTCTGTGTCCTCCCCTCTTGTGTCCAGTTCGTGTTCCAGATTTCCTGTTTTATTCTGAAGGTCTCTGTCTGTTGTCATTGTGTTCAGCTTGTGTCATCCAGTCATCATGTGTATTAGGATCAGCTTTTCTTCCCTCCTGTGTGTGATTACCTGATTACCTTGTGTGTGTATATTTAGTGGGTGTCGGTCTGTGTTCGTTGTCGGCTCGTCTGCGTTCGTCTGCATTCCTCTGTGTTCCATGGTGTTTCGTTCCTGTCTCTGCATCTCTCTGCCCCGCACCCCTTTTGTATGCTCTCAGGTTTGTTATTTAGTTCTCCCAGTTTAGGTTTCTTCAGTTATTTGTCACGCCTCACTGCTTGCTTGCCACTATCCCACCTTGTAAATAAACGTCACACTCTTCATCAGTCAGCTGCCTGCACCTTTTCATTCCACATCACGACTGCTGCCCCAGCCGTGACAAGAACAAAACCTCTTTGAGATACCGCTCTGCACATTTCACTCTCATCACATATCCTCAAAAATTTTGGAGGTTTGAGTTTAACTGTAAAATTTCAGAGCCCTTCCTTTGACGTTTAACGGTAAGTGGGCTGCTTTTTCACGTGATGCTTCCCCACTTCACTGCCTGTTATTGTACGGCTACTACACCATATTTGAAAACTAGGCACCAAAGTTAAAACTACATTCTGAAACTGTAATACTTTTAAACTTTAACTTCAAACAGCTATTGGACTGAATTGGAGGCTTTTGTGCGTCTCTGTTTTCTTCCGCATCTTAAAGGCAAGTACAGATTCAGTTGAGCAGCCTCTCTTCAGTGAAGCTGGAAAATCAGATTCAAAGCTCTGAAGCCTTTTTTTAAAAAAAGATACATTTTTTGTCTTGAAATCAGCAGCAAAGTTTCACACAGGAGTTTGGACACAGCTCTGCATCTAAATATTAGTAATTGTGTGGATGAGTATTTATGCAAGACATGGTGTAGACGTTAAGTTAAGAATTCTTTGGAAGTATTTGAGTTTAATAAAAAATAAAAAGCCCAAAGCACCCTTTGTGTTGCTTTGTGAACACGAGATTGTGATGGACCATTAAGAAGGAAAATCTAACCCTAGGAGTGACAAAGTAACTGTCTGTGAAACGCACAAACTGTCATGTAGTGCACTTTCTATGAAAATGTCACAACATTTGCTTCTCCCTATTTTTGTGTCTCTGAAGCACTTCCAATGTTTCTACCACCCTGCGATGTATTTTAATCCTACGGCTGTGTTCACATTATAAAGGATGGGTGTAGCCACTGTGGCATCACCCATTGGCTAGTAAAGTCCTATTAAAGAAGCCTAAAGTTGAGTGTTTACGCTAATGCTAATTAATCATTGTGATTAAAAAGCCTCCTCTCTGACTCTTAATATTGACCACAGTTCACAAAACAAGGTTAACATCCTTTCCAGTATGACCTTAACATTGAATTATTCTTTATACTAGAGATGGACCGAGCCGATATTACGTATTGGTATCGGTCCGATACTGACGTAAATTACTGGATCGGATATCGGAGAGAAATAAAAAATGTAATCCGATCCATTAAATATCAAAAAAGCACCTCACAAAACTTGCAACACGGCGTAACTCGGCTCATAACCATAGCACCTCGGAGCAGTGTGGTCACGTGATAGAGCTGCTGTGTGTATTTGTAGCCTCGCTACCAAACCAGCATTTCATCTC